GGAACCCCAAAGCGTGGGACAGTGTCTGAGCACAGAAGTGGCACCTTTATTTAGAAAAGGCCTGAGTGCTGCATTGGTTTCCAGTGGAGGTTGCCCAATAGACCATAAGTGGCCCCTGACACGTTGTGTACATGCCATTATTGGCATGGGTTTGTGGGGCATCTTTGGGCAGGTGCCAGAGGATTCGTGGTTCTAGCTGAGGTACGAATACACTTCCAGCTGCTGCTTCTGTGCCACACCACTGCTTGCTTCACAGAGAAGAGTGTCTTGATGGATGTTCAGTATATGCAGTAGAATAGCACTCTCCTATTCTATGGCGACTGTTTGCTACGAAGGTCAGCCATTGCTGCAGTAGCCTGTGGGTGAGGTGCTTTGCCTTAGGGCAGTATCCTGAGCTGGCTTTCCTGAATGGGGCAGCGCTGCACCTTTTGGAATGCCCAGCACGACTGACTACCCTTTTCTTGATAACTCTGTCATATGTCCACAGCTGGCCTCATGTGCCACGGTGCCACGTGTCATGGCGCCATGGTTCCAGTGAGCATGTTTGGACCAACGGCCAGTCCTCCTGTCTCTCAGGCTTCCTGCAAGGTTTTCATTCCACCCACCCTACTGCCACCTACAGGACATTCTGTGAAAGTTTTTGACTGCTAGGTGCTCTTCTCCTGCAGCTGGAGCTTCCCAGGTCAAGTGGAATAAGAAAAACGCCAACTGCTTGGCAACCAGCCATGATGGAGATGTACGCATTTGGGACAAGCGGGTGAGTCAGTGTCGCCTTCTCTAATGAAGACAGAGATGACCTCACCAGCTGGTGAGCATCCATATGCCTTCCAGCTCTGAGGGTCCCAAGGTGGCGCAAGGCTCTCTGTTGCTGGGCTCTCTGAGGACCCACAGCATCCATTTCACCCTGAAACCTTATCAGGAGATATTCCCGTGACTTGGGACTTGTAGCACTGTATGGTGTCCTCAACTGTAGTAGGATTGCTCCATTAAGTTTCTTTGCTTCCTTCTGCATAATATTTCCAAGGGACAAGTAGTCTAGAATGGCCAACAGACCTCTTGGGTGCAGTCCCAGGGATAACTGCACTGTAATCTCTCTCTGGTCAAACAAATGTGATTGGTGGCTGCTGGTGGGAATTCCTTACGGATGCAAGCAGCCTGAGTTAATAATCCCCCTGCCTCCCCCAACTGCATTATGCTGCTTGAAAATAGGTCGTAATGCCGAACTCAGTGCCTATGAATACCCATTATAACCACGGAAATTCTCCTGGAGAATGGGGCTTGATGGAATCTTGCATTCCAGCAGGTGGTAGAGAGGTAGGCGTTTCCTTGCTGTGAATAACAACCCGACATTTGCCTATAGGTAACGGATGCATAACTCAGAAAAACTGACCAGTTTATAAAATTGTGCATAATTCTCTGTTGCTGGAACAGGCTTTGGATAGTCTGTGCAGAATGCATGAAGCCCCAACCATTGTCAGTCTGCAGGATAGCATCTGGGATCTGGCAGGGTTGTGGCTTGATCATAAAGCCTCTGTTTGGCATGCAGAAGGTCCAAGGTTCAATCCCCAGCATCTCTAGTCAGAAGGATCAGGTAGAAAGTGATGTAAAAGATCTCTGCCTGAGCCCTCAGAAAGCCACTGCCAGTCCAAGTCGAAAGTGCTGGCCTTGATGAAGCAAGGGTATGATTCAGTATAAGGCAGTATCTAGCCCAGCCACTGTTTCTAGCTCTGCCTTCACCAATAGGAGCTATGTGTCCTTGGGGCAGCAGTCATAATTTCTATGGCCCTAATGGCTCATAACAGAGATAAGACTTGAGCTAACTCCCTTCTGGGAATGTGTGGTTCAGCAGTATGAGTCGGAGTATATCGAGACCAATGCTTCCTGTTTAGTCCCTGCTGGACTCAAAACGCATCACCTTTTGGTGCAGTGGTTCTCAAGGAGGTGGTGGCTCTGAAGCTTATGAAGGTTTTGTCCAAGAGAAGACCAGTAATGGGGGAGAAGGTTCCTTGAAAGACTTGCAGCCTTCCCCTGCAGTGTGCAGCCACGTGGGCACATTGCACATGATATAGGTTCACTCTCAATTCAGGTGCTGCAAGAGAAGCTCAGCAGGCTTACCCAGCATGCGACACAAATTTAAGTGTGTGCCTTCAAGTATACCCCAGAATCTTTGAAATACTCCAGAATTCCCCAGCAGATGGCAGTGGCGTGTCAGGGGTTCCCTAAAAGCAGAACATTTGAAAACCACTGTCCTCACAGCTGGCGGCTGCCTTATGTGTGTGCGTATGGTGGGAGCCTTTAACCAAAACCTCTTCTTGCAGAAACCTGGCACCGCCGTGGAGTACCTGGCAGCCCACCTCTCCAAAATCCACGGCCTGGACTGGCACCCAGATAATGAGAACATCTTGGCCACATCTAGCCAGGACAACTCCGTCAGGGTAGGTAGGTGGGGTGGGCTTTCTGGTGGCTGTTAGATGTAGTCTGACAAAGAGCACACACACATCAGCTGTGTTAAAACAGTGGACCTGTTGCTTGTTGTAGGGGTGGGTGGGAAATTTCAGCCGGGCTGGTCCCTGTTGGTCTTCCCTGCTGATGGAGAACTTTGGGAGATAGTGCAAGGGAGTGCGGGCTGTGTGGCTTCCAGCTGTAGAGAGCAGGGGTGCAAAAAGGTGCCTGCCTTCTTAAAGAAGCTCATGCTGCACTCTTAGCTGCATGTAGGGTTGCCAGGTCTCTTCCTCACGCCAGCGGGGGAGTTTGAGGGCATTCCGGGGGTGGGTGGGAACTCAAACCATAGAGTTTTGCCCAAAAGGCAGAGCGCCCCCCGATGCCACCAACACGCTGTTGTCACTTCCAGGTGACATCAGCGCGCCCTGCATGGAGTCAGGGGTGGGGAGAATTTCCTCCTGCCAGCCAGCTGGTCGGCAGTGGGCCAGAGCTCACAAAAGTAGGGGATCCCCCACCTGGGGAGTGGTTGTCCTTGGCTGCATGCCATAGTATGTGCCTCTGCCAACTGAGGCATATCCTAAGGGTCTTGTTTTGCTCATTGCTGGAAGCCTTTTGAGTTTGTTTGAGCACAGTCTGGATTAGACTTTTTCTAACCAATTATTTCCTTTTATTAATGAGAGTTAAAGTACCAGTTCAACCTTGTCTTTCCATCTATATGGAAAACTCAACCAATCATGAAAAAAAACCCAACCCAGCACTATAACATTAAACCTGCGAATGAAAATGCCGTTGGACATCAGCAACAGCCAAACACCCATTCCCATAGAAATACTTTATTAGTCTTCCAAGACCTTACAAAGTGCCAAGAGAGCCAGTGTGGTGTAATGGTTGTAGTACCCTCCCACTGGATTGGGGGGGGGTAGGATTGCCAGAGCCAGGTTGGGAAACTCTTGGTGATTTGGGGATGGAGCTTGGGGAGGTCCTCAGTGGGTCACAAAGCCATACAGTCCACCCTCCAAAGCATCCTTTTCCACTAGGGGAACCGATTTCTGTGGTCAGGAGATGAGGTGCAATGCCAAGGGACCCCAGGTCCCATCTGGAGGCTGGCATCCCTAGGCTAGGATCTGGGAGAGCCCATGTTCAAATCCCCCCAGACAGAGCATCACTTGCCCCAGAGTCCCTATCTATACCTTGTGGCTAATAGCCACTGATGGACCTCTGCTCCATATGCTTATCTAATTCCCTCTTGAAGCCGTCCATGCTTGTAGCCGCCACCACTTCCTGTGGCAGTGAATTCCAAGTGTTAATCACTCTTTGGGTGAAGAAGTACTTCCTTTTATCCGTTCTAACCCGACCGCTCAGCAATTTCATCAAGTGCCCACGAGTTCTTGTATTGTGAGAAAGGGAGAAAAGTACCTCTTT